CCAGCTCTACTTGGAGGGCCTTTGTAAAGCAGTCTACAGTTTCTGGAAAAGGAGGTATGTGATGCAAGAGGCAATGTTTTCAATTTGTTTCACAGTATCACCTTATAATTTGTGCAAGACTTTTTTTTCTTTCCTTCTTCTTCTTCTTCTTCTTCTTCTTCTTCTTCTTCTTCTTCTTCTTCTTCTTCTTCTTCTTCTTCTTCTTCTTCTTCCTTTTTAAATACAAACCATGCCAGTTTTCTTCAAGAGAATCAAACTTCCGACTGAGGACAGACTCTTATGTATGTATTACTTATCAGTTATAGTAAGCATAGTAATGAGTACATTATCAATCCAGATACTTGCCTTAGGTACAAAAGGACTTACTTAGGAATATTAACATGAAGGACAAACCAACTGAGAAACTTACCAGTTAAATATGAACAGCTCCTTAGAACCTACAGTACAGAAAGCTATGATTCATTCTGTTCACTCCTTCATCCTTCCTTCTATGTCACCTTCACCTAGAACAAGTGTTTCAACATGAAAATATTCACCACTGCTGAGTGCAATAAATAAAGAGGTTATAACTGTAATATGAACCTTAAAAGCCACTAAATTATTAGAGTACTGCAAGATTCATTTCTAGAAAACAGAATTTTAAAATTAGGTGTAAAACTTCACATTTTAAGTTATATAATTATAACTTTCATGGTACCAACAATGGCTGGACAAGTAGAGGATGGAAAAAGAGGTTGGGCAACAAAACAGCCCATGTTAGTGCAAACTTGGGATTGTAAAACTGAATCCAGTTAGACCAATGGCCATCGGCCATATCCTATCACACAAAGAGCAGACCTCATAAAGTCACAAGACAAAGTGCCACAGCCATGGAACTAGCATGCTAATCTGAAAGAGAAACACAGACTCAAACCATTTAAACCAGTCTAGCTACACATGAATTAACTTATACGAGCACCAGTCACCTGCAAATCTGAGCCCTTTCTGGGATTTTAAAAGATGAGACAGTAGCACTTGAAAAAGTTATGGACAGAAAACTGCCACTTCAAAGTTTTAACTTAAAGTTACAGGAGAATATGAAACAACGTGACTGAAAGTTTTTTTTCTGAGACTGAGTTTTCCTTCAGTTTGACAGAGCTTAAAAATCTCATACACTTGAAAACAGTACACAAAAATAGATATGTAAATACATATAAATAGTAAGAATGAGGATCTAAGTTAGTGCTTCTCTGTGTTAGAGATCACAGCTAAATAAATGATATGGCCTCATATTGTTACCCGTATTTAAAATAAAAAGTCACATTAACTAGTTTGGATGTCTCTACCCAGGAATACTCAAACTGCTTTTTAAGAGTGCATAGTTGTCTTGATTCACCTGGTTTCTCAGGGACTATTTATCAAAAAATTCTAGAATGATACTTTTATGCCAGGGGTGGAAAAATGCTGATAATTGCACTTTGTTATCTTTCCTTACTGAAATGAAAATATCATGGAGATCAAAGCAAATCCCTCCCCACACCACAATCTTTATGAGCACCCATTTCTGTATACAAAACTCTCAGCTTTCAGCAATGTTGACACTATTTCCTAAACAAAGGTTCCTTATTATGAGATGCCAGTGATATGCTGAGGCCTGCTACGTATTACAGTACTTTCTGAAGACACTGAGGATAGAGTTTATCCACAGTACACTCAAAACGGCAGCCAAGGTCCCACAGCTGATCTGGGATCTCATACACTTTCATCCACTGGTCAGCAATATCATCATACTGGTAAAGAGAATTGTTCCTGCTGGTTCTGAAGATATGTTCTTCAATAGTCACTTGAGTAGCTCAGACAAATAAATGGAGTTTATTCTGGAAAAGTACCAGCTTAAGGTATGGATTTATAAACTGATCCCATGGAAAATCCTTCTTAAGAGTCCATTTATTTAGCTCTATATCATAGGCTTCTACAGTAAGCACACGCTGATGATTTCCACAGGTTCCAGATATGAAGTAGATGGAGTCTTTGTACACAGCTGCCAAGCCCTGGATTCTAGGCACAGTCATGGGGGTTAGAAATCCCCAGTAGTCTTTTTGAGGCTCATAGAAGAGGAAAAATTCTCCCTGTAAAACATAGATCTTCTCTTTGTGCTCCACAGCATTATGAAACCCCATTGCAACTGGCATCGCACAAACAGTCATCCAGGAGTTCTCTCTGCTGTCCTAGCACTCCACAGACTTCAGGGAGTTTCTTCCATCACCTTCATACACATGCCCTCCAATTGCATACATTTTACCAGAGCAATGCACTAGTTTGCAGCCTATTCTGGCTCGAAGCAAGGATGGCTTGGATAGCCATCTATTGGTGGAATGGTCATACATCCAAAAATCATTTTCTGCCTTATGATCGATGGAGACCTCACTGCTGCTTGGCCTGTACCCTCCTGCAATGTAAATGTCATTATCTGGTGATACCAGAATCCCAACTTCTCTTAGGTCATTTGGTGGTTTGCATAGTTTAAACACTCTTCCTGTGACTATATCTAGACAGGGCACTGTTTGCTTCTTTCCTAAGTGTTTGTGTGCAGCATCAAAACATAAGATCATTTCAGAAGCAGTCATTCCAAGCCTCTGTGTACAGCCATTGGTGTTGGATAGTCCCTTTTCTCCATAGCTTTTGGCTATGGCCTGTGCAAACTGAGGTGGAATTGTCTTGATAAATGTATCTTCCATCAAAGGAAAATGTACACATTTGGCAAAAATTTCTGGAAGGTGTACTTCTCTTTCATTTTGCTCATGTTCAAACCACCTTATAATGCTTTCATAAACATGTTCTTCCCATTCTACATTTAAATCATCACTATCTAGTATGCTTATGAGTTGGTCTTTTATCAGCTGGAGAAACTCTTGTTCTTTGGTGACACACAGAAACTTTTTACGGATGTATTCTTTTGATCGATCTCCAAGTTCTTGATGACCATAATGATCAGCAAAGATAAAGACCCCAATAGAATTTTGTGGGTCCAAATGACTAATCATATACTTAGCACACTGGTCTTGTATGGAAGGAATTTGGAAGATGCTAGCTGTAGTGAACAAGGCTTGAACATTGGCCTCTGTCAGAATAACTCTAGGGGTATAGTCATAATTCAATACTAAATCCATTGATTCAGCTTTGACACCAATGATTCAAACTTCTTTCTGAGTACTCTCTGTAAGGCCGCTAGTGAACATGGACCTGAAGTAGGGGCTGATTGCAGCAAGAACGTTTCTATGGCAGGAAAATGTTTTCCCGTGATCCACTTCCACTACAATGTCTGTCAACTGTCCTTCATCGTACATTGTTTTGAGTTGCTTAAGAATACTGCAAGCACGGAAGCGGGGCATGGCTTCATTGGTTGTGTCTGAAGACGAGATCCCATTCGTTGCTGGGGAAGACTTACTTAAATCTGCCGACGCAGCCATTACTCCAAGGGGCCCTGGCTCCGGTTATTTTTTTCTTTCCATTTTCTTAATATCCAGCTATCTTTAAACATTAACCAGTGAAAAATGTCTCATCTATTTTACCACGGTTACATCTGTTATAATATCAGTATAGAGCAAAATATTGATAATATACAGAATATGATAACAGAGTAAAAAATGAAATAGATTACAGGGTTAAATTATATATACCTGTGTTTTACAATGTGAAGAAATGTTGATATTCCTGATAGGAGTCACAAAGGAATTTATCAGGAAATAATTTATGAGATACCATAATAGCTAGTGAATGCAAATCAATTGTAAAATTAATAAAGCATACTTATTACTAGTGCTACATAATTATGTAGCCTGATGAGTGGCTGGCTGAATGGCTGAATGATGAAGTGAACGTCTCTGTGAGTCAGAGTTTTGTTACCCACACCTACACTGGCAACTCACAATATCTTGTAACTCCAGTCCAGAGCACCTGCTTATTTCTACTGGCCTCAGACACTTACATATATGCTGAACACATAATGTAAACAGGCACATATAAATAAATAAACAAATAAATATTAATATCTATTATAATAGAACTGAGGATATCTTATAATTAAATCAACTAAACACATTTCAGAAAATTTAATTATTCAAAATTGCAGGAAAGTGTTAACATTCCCAGTGCCCTGGGTGGGTTACCTCTTAGAAGTTTCAATTTTCCTTCTCAGTTTAAATAGAATGTGATAAAAATACCTTCCTTGATCTACTTAGCAAGCCCATTATTTTTCACTGAATTGCTATGAAGCTTCTACATTTCAAAATAATTTGTTGTTATGTTGTCTGTAAAAACAAACAGGAGCCAGTAATATGTGTGACTATTTAGTCATAATTGACAAAATAAAGCATGAAGGACAAAATTTGACCACATAAATTTGACAACCTATATATGGATTATCTGGCCAATATGGAGCTAACAATTTTTCAGATTGGAATTTTGTTAAGTTCTATTCTTTAAATCCCTAGTTATATAAATAAAATGGATGTGACAGTCTTTTGAAATAACATATGGAAATTCAAATCTCCATGTGTTGGTGTTTTGAGATGTGCCCCTTCAAAATTAATTAGGACATAAAGATGGAGCCTCCATCTTGGAAATATTGCTATATTAGTACATTTTCTGTTAATAAAACAATGTAATTATAATTTATAACTTAAAAGAAAAATAAACAGAAAACAAAACAACAAAGAACCTCTTGTTTCCCTCAGAGCATCAGAATCTACTAACAATGGGTTGTCATGACATCTTCTCTGGTGATTCATGGCCATGGTATCACAATGATGGCAAATAATAAAAGGTGATGAACTGATGATAGCAAAAAGGAAGCTGCATGGTAGCAATGGAACCACAAGCATTATATTGATTTCTTAGAAGATGTATCCATCAAGGACCTAGGACTCACTTCTTAAACTCCAGGTACCTCTTGACATTATTATCCTGAAAAAAATCAAGTTATCAACAATTGATCCCTTTTGGAGTACACTTACACTGTATGCAAATGACAACATTATTGTTATGAGGAGATGCATATTGGTACCTAGCTGCATTCCCATCCTGTGGAGATAAAATAAATCAATAGTCTTTAACCCTTGAGAGCATCATCACCAATATATTCCTCAAGAGTAGTCTGACCACCCAATTTACAGATCTGATAACTTTAAGAATTATTTTAGGCAAAAATTCCTAACAAGTATAATAATATTCACACTCAAATTTAAACTATAAGATGATTAATGGTAAAATTTTCCCCAAATTAGAATTTTATGTGTGGAATGGAGACATGGCTCAGTGGTCAAGCATGCATACAGCTCTCTGAGAGTACCATAACCTAGTTGCCAGGACTCACATCAGCTGATTCCCAACTATGCATAGTTTCAGCTTCAAAGCCATCTAAGTGCTGTCCCCTGTGGCCTGGACCAAACACTAAAGCAGGTCATTCTTCAGTGACAGGTTCTTAGGGGGATACAACCAGGAGATAAGAAAAATAGATAGAAATACTGGTGTCGGAAGGTTTTGCTTAAGTAGATGGCTTATGCCAAGCAAATTTATTAAAAAGTACAGCAGCTACAGTATTTGCAAGGGAGAATGAGGACCAAGGATGGAACAGAGTCAGCAGAAAACTGTTATACATGGGAGGAAATCAGCAGGGAGCTAACCAAACAATGTCACATAGGAGTACACCGGGTATGTCCAGGACATCAGAAACCAAGCACACAGAGGCCTTGGGATCGATAACCATATCTGTTTAGCATGAGAAGAGTTGGGTTCTCAGCAGAAGAAGCTCTGGCCTCAGGCCATTACTGGCATTGCCAAGCACGTTCCTGGTTTCGAGAAGGATTTATATTCCTTTTCCATACATCATATCCTCGGGGAATGCCTCAACTAAGCCTTCAATGTGTTTAGGAATCAGAATTCACGAGTATCACACACACACACACCCCCGCCACACACACACATAGTTAAAAATAAATTAGATAAAGAAAAAAATGAAAAAGAAGTGCAGGTTTACTATAAATTAGAGTTTCTGCTCTAGAATTGAGCTAATGTTAATCCCTTGGCTTTTTGTTAGTAGATATCTATAAAGAAATCCATATCATTCTTTTCAGTATTTGATTAGTTAGGAACTCTAAATATTGTAGTCTGGAAACTAACTATTAAATGTAGTCTTTTTCGAATCTTAAATGGTCTTAAGAATAAAAAATTACTGGTACCAGATATTTGGGGTGAAAGCAGAAAGATCAGAGAAGCAGAATATCCATCCACTAGTTCTTACCTCTATGAAATCCTCAGTCTAAAGAGAATGGGTTCCTATTTCCTCACTCACACTTTATATAACTTTCTCTGTCCTGCCATATTACTTCCTGGGATTAAAGGCATGTGAGCTTCCCAAGCAAAGACATGAGATCTCAAGTGGTGGATTAAAGGCATGTGCCACCACTGCCTAGCTCTGTTTCTTTCCTATACTGGATCAATCTCATGTAGCCTAGTGTGACCTTGAACTCACAGAAATCCAGACAGATCTCCATCTCCAGAATGATAGGATTAAAGGTGTGTGCCACCACTGCCTGACCTCTATGTCTAATCTAATGTCTGGCTCTGTTCTCTGATCATGAGACAAGTTTATTAGGGTACACAATATATCACCACAATGTAGTTTATACACAGGGCAGAAACATCATGTAACAATCAGAAATAATAATTGTATTTAGAGAGAAATAGATTATTCTAAAATGATACTGAATGGTAAAGATAATACATATAGTACAATATGATAAGGTCAGTTTCAATTGTAGATACATAAACAATAGAAATGTTCAAATTTTATGAAAGAAAAGGAACCTTGTCTTTGCTATTTTATTCACTGAGCTGAAGATTATATTGAATTTTATATGATTTTATGTATTTAAGACATCTACCACTCTACAAAAATGATGTCAATAACTTGAATTTATATATTAAAAACTTTTACATTACTAGTATAGAAAATATTCCATCTATTTGTTCAATACCTATCAGGTTGTACCTGGGATGTCTAACTTTTTGACATTGCTATATGACATTGTCATTTATGAACATATTGTCCTGTATTTATAGCTATTCTGAGACACATGAAGTCTGTGGGTTGCAAATAGACATGCGTATCATTAAACTGTCTTTGGTATCAGTGAAGTTTCATAATGCTCAGGTTTCTGAAGAGCTTTACAGTCTTATTGTTTGACTAAATTAACATCATCATCTGCCATGGTGGAATAAATGTAGATTGTTATAGGAAAAAGTATTACTTTGCATATTTTTGTTCAAAAAGATTACCTTGGATAATTCTATTTATTTCAATGTTTTAATAATATTTATTGACTAGTGATTAAAATTTGACAGAACAGAAGAAAGTACTTAAAAGCAATTTAGTGGAATCATAAATGACAAATGCTTCCTAGTTTTGGCAATTTTTTAATGTTTTACAAAGCAATATTATGTGATTTTTTTCCCCAGTACCTGAAATGGATCAATCTGTGTCTACAAGTAATTATATCTTATACAGAACTTGATAATTTCAAGTGAGTTGATTTTTTTCTCTTAGACAACTGTGTAGATGTAATTCTGAACAGTTTTATTAATAAGAAACACAGAGCCAAATGTGGAGTTAAAAGCCCAAGAGGTCAGAGCAACAGCCAAGAGCTGCGACCAAGCTGCCTTCTTACCCCTTGCTGGTTGTCACTGTCGTCCTTCCCCTCAGGAAGAGACCTACTTCCTGTGTGTCTGTCTTTTTGTTGACTTGTTCTGCCTTCTCATTGCTTGTAAGCCCAACCACATGACCTCCTCCTCACTGCCTGTCTATACAGACCCCCAGGTCTCTATGGTTGGTATTGAGATTAAAGGCGTGTGTCTCCAAACTGGCTATGTCCTTGAACACACAGACTCTGCCTGCCATGTAATGGGATTGAGGGCATGTGCTACCACTGCCAGACTTCTGCTATGGCTTGCTATTAGCTGACCCCCAGGCAACTGTATTTATTAACATACAAATAAAATCACATTTCAGCACAAATAAAATAACACCATACTCTGACTTCAGATTTTCATATTTTGCTTATTGACCAAAAGTTTTATATAGAATGGAATATGGAAAAATAAGTCAACCTAGAATGTGTATGGTCTGAATGTCAGTATTCTCTATCCAAATATCATTGGAAACATAAACAGTATACCAGTCTTTAATTCTTAAAATAGTTTGAATTAATTTTATATATCAATAAGTTCTATGCATACAAATAAAGGTATACACTTGACCCTTTGTACCCACTCATATGCATTTGCCCCTTTGTTAATTATCATTTCCCAGATGCACTTAGTATTGACTGAACATTAAGCCAAGTACTTTTATTCTGTATTATACAAGTGAAATTCTTAGGCATGTAAAGCATAACAAACTAAATTTCAAACG